AGAGAGAGAGAGAGAGAGAGAGAGAGAGAGAGAGAGAGAGAGAGAGAGAGAGAGAGAGAGAGACAAAAAGGGAGAGAAGGGACAGGTGGGCCAAGGGGAGACATCGGCAGGTTACATTAAAGAATCAAGAAGCGACGGAAGGAAAGGAGGTCAACGTCGTATACTATATACCTCGTGAGAAACCGCGCAATCGTATCGCGGCGAAGTTTAATCAGAGGCGAAGGTGTAAAAAACAAAAAGAAGGGACTAGATACGACACATGTGGACGACAATTGTACTAATCGATTCAAGGAATGATTCTGCGCGTAGAACAGCATGTAAACGTCACGTTCGATTGTTGACACATTCATTATGTATGTAGATACTCGGAATCTATGCCAGTACTATATATGTATTTATGATGCATTTAAGAACTAGGAAACTTGACGAGATAAGATTTCTTAATAATTCAGGAGTGAAAATTATAATAATTACTAATATTTATAAATTCTAATTTAATTCGAATTTGTTTGTTTTACGACAGAGCAGCTCGAAGCATTCTTACTCCAATTGCAACATGTTTGATTAATTAGAAAACAGACGTGACAGCGATGTTAAAAAGGATTAAAAAGAAAGCACAATTATTTCAAGATGATTAATACACGATCTTTTTTGACATTTCAAACGTGATCAAAATCTTCTAACTACATCTGTCGCGTTGCTAATTTAAACAGATGAAATGAAATGAACTCTACGTACTGCAAAAAAAGAAAAAAAAAAAAAGATCCTCCAAGCTGCTCGTAGTTTATTCTTCGTGATAAAAATAGTCAATGTGGGGATTGAATTTGTCTGATATTAAATAATTTACGGAACAATAATTCGTAAATGTGGTGGCCGGCCAGAGAATGGCTGTAAACGCGTGTATATTTTAAGCGTGGGTTGAATTACACGTGGCATCCACGAAAGATAAATGAACGCAACACGTAGAGAAAAGCAAGTTACTTGCACGCAAGGAACAAGTTACATCAAATAATTGCACTGCCGTTAACTATTCTAACCTGAATTTCTGCGTGAAAGAGAAGCTACGTTTCAATCGATTGGTCGATAGTCTTCGTTGTAATAATTATCGAGTTCGAACAGTGAAATTTCAATGTTACGCACTTAATTGCAAATTAAAATCCGTGCAATTATTTATTTCCCTAAACACGTGGAAACATTGAGAAATTAAACTTTCTCGAAATTGTCTCAGGACAAAGTTTCGCAATTAGAATTAAATAAATCTCAATTGATCGCTCGATCTGAGAAAAAAAATTGCATTAGCAATCAAACTGAAAAAAAAAAAACATTTCTACTAGGAAGGAACAAAGTGGAATTCTTACGAGATCTTATGTCTGAAATCTTCGAGCGCCAGCGTACGTCTCTCTGCGGAATCGTTCGTGCAATTCTGAATAATTGAATCGCAAGTCACAATCCCGCGGCACGGGGAATTGTAAATCAAAGGCCAAGACAGCGCGTACGAGAGCGGCTTTTGTGCTCTTCCGGCGAGTGGCCAACGAAAAAGGTAAATGGCGAATCGTGGCTTGTTATTTCGAAAACATCGACAGACCAGTACAGATCGCGAATATCGAGGAATGGAAATGGAGAAACTGGCCGCGTCGAGCAGTGCATGAATGACACATGAACGACACTCGAACACCGTTCTCGAAAGCAAACGGAGCACCAGAGAATCCGTGTGCATTCTCTCTCCCCTGTACATACATGGTCATGTGTGTCACAGCCGCGATATACTCTGATGTCTTCCACGCCTCTGGTTCAAGTGCGAACCGCGAATGGCCAATTGATGGCGATCATTCCCAAATCCCTTCACACCTATACTTCTCTTTCTCTTTTCTCTGCTCTTCTTCGACGTTCATTCGAATCTGTTTTTTTTTTCTCCTTTCTTTATATCTATGTTTGCATATAGCTATCGTGATTGCAGTAATCTTTGAGCAGCTAGGTATTTTGATTTACTAGGAATTTTGATTTATTTCAACAAAGTTTTTTTAAATTAAAATTTATTAAATTTAATAACTCTCCCAATCAAATATCAATTTAAATTTTATATTAAACACAAAAATAAAATTAATATAAAATTCTATAGGGTCTTATCGTCCCATAAGAAAATTTTTACATTTTTATTAAAATTTTAAATTTACAATTTATACATGAGACAGTGTATATTTCATTAAACCTTTAATTCCAGATTTCACTTCAAAATCAATTGATTATGCTACCTTTGTACAGTCAGTTATACTGCAGCCATTAAATTATTCATTGGGCAGATTGACTTAAAATTATTCTCAATAAGACATGTTTTTGATAAACAGGTGAATATATTTATTTTGTCTAATTCCTTATATATATATATTTTTCATCTAAAAAAATTAAAAATTAAAAATTGTTACAAACAAGCACCATCAATTGCAGTGGCATAGTAATACGTAAATTTTCGAATCAAAATACTTTATTCAGTAAATTCATTTCTTTGAGAAATCAAGTTATTAATTCTTTCATTTATAGAAGTGTTCTTCAGGGAAGCGTTGATCTAAATCTTATTAACATCATCCGAGAAAAGTGCAAACAACGTCACATAACACTAACATGAGAAACAACAAACTTCTACATTAAAATGTGACAACACGAAGAAGAGTTCAACTACTTGTGCTGGCAACTGATTGCGGACCATAACGAGTGACCAAACCGTATACAATAATTCGTCGCTTTCTTCTTCTTTTGAACTCGTCGGTACGATATGACTGGATAGAAATTATTGAGAAGTAATAAATTTATTATTTGTTTTGTCTGGGTTATACTTAAAACTGAGAAAATATTGCAATTTTGGGACGAAAAGTTCTCAACGTGCGTGGCACGTCACTCCAGCGCAAGAGGTTAAATTCTAACTACGTTGTTGGAAACATTAACGTTTGTAAAACAATATTGCCAGAGTACAGTACCATGTTATTCAGATTGGACTTTAGTTCTTGAGCTACCCAGGATGTTTCCATGTTTATGGAGACTCCACGAGGCTGCAGCTGTTTCGACTGTATCGCCATGCTTTTGCTTTGTTTCTTCTTTTCCTTGCGCTTCATTTTGCCCTTCGTTTCAGCCCCGACGATCGAACGTCAACCTCTTTCTTCCCATCTTTCTCACTTCGTCCTTGCATAATATTACATCTGTCTCTCTCTCTCTCTCCATCACTAGATTCGTTTATTATTCACCATCGAGAAATTACAGTTCGTAGCACCAATTTTCTATTTTACGATCCATTGTTTGTTCACTGAGACACGACTCGAAAACTGCGCCAGGAGGTAACTTGAAATTACGAGTACACGTCAGAGTCACGGGTTTCATGTGGTGGGTTCGATACGATATTACGTCGCTGTGGGTTTAAAGTTCGAAAGGTCGACCTTCTGGATGTCAAGTTCATACACTCCACGAAGCGAAACTCCCCGGGAACTTTAGGATTTGAGATGAATTGCGATTCCGCCGTTTAATTAACGATTCAACGCTTTGTCATCGATCCTTGATTCTAGCCTCTTAAATCGACCATCAGTAAATTGCGAATATTCCGATGACGAGTGCGGTATCGAAAGTTTATATTCTTAATGAACAACCTGTGATCGTTCATTTAGATTAGTGTTTATCACGCGCTAATTTGCAAGTCGTAGGAACGACTCGACATAGCATATTGTCTCGGAAAGATTTTTAATTTAACACGACGTTATCATCGAACATTCGTCTATGCGACTTCTACAATTTGACATAATTTTTCCAACTTGGCACGTGTATTGTGCCTTTGAAAAGTTATATAATTTCCTCTTCGATATTTCTCCATGCAAGATATTTAACTGTTATTTCTGAAATGATTGTGATATGATATTGTAAATTTATAGATCAATCTTTGCAGGCGATGCAGTTTGCTCGAGAATTTGCGATTCCTACGTTTTCACCCGGTTGCGAAATCTCGAGCAGAAATCACAGTGTCATAATGTCAAGTTAAATACTTTGTTAATACTCCCTTGTCATCTTTCTTCTTGCATTTATCGAGAAACCTGTTCTACTTCCGATGGCCATAATTGACAGAGACTTTGCTAATACTTTCGAAATTATTCACCGTGTACAAAGTCTTTATGTTGTCTTGTCAAGTTTCTTCTAACGTCGCCAATAGTGGTGTCTATTGTTAAAACATGCGGCTTTTCAGATTCTCGTTGATTTGTTCTTGCATTTAATTTATCGAGAAAAGAGACAAATACACGTATTCTTCATCGATTAATTCCCAAATATGAAATTTCTGAGCGAAAGGGAAGTGATTACGCGTATATTATCTTTCTCTAATTCGCCTGATCGTTGGACAACCAACTTTCCTAGTTTCTAATCGTTGGAGTTTCGGAAATTTATCGCGCAGCCGTCATCAAGAATAGAATCGTCCCGATCATCGACGTAACTTATCTGCGATTTTTCTGCGTTGCTGCTTTCAAGCGACGATTTCCTAGCAACGATAACCATCGAACTGCAATCGAGGATGAGTTGTGAACCTCAGCCGCGATAAAGCTGAACGACACTACGAGAGTTACCATCACAACTGCGTTGTTACCAAGCCCCGGTTTGCTTGCGCGCATGTGCAACTCCTTCCTACCCTCATGTTGCTGATGACAACGTGTGGTCATCGCGAATCACGCGATTATAATTATTTCATTCATCGTTGATGCTTGCACATGAGGAGAAATTTCAAGGGGATGCTCGCGGATTTAATATTCAGCCCGACTTCTTTGGTTTTGAAAGCGGCTGTGTAAACTTCGACTTCTGTTTGTTTCACGTCCTCGATCATTCAGCGCTGTGCAAACACAGGGTGGGATATACAGTGAACAGAGATATAGATTTTCTTGAACCCGATAGTCGATCGTGACGTCAATCGAACGTGCGATGAATTCCCGTTTTTGATCATCGTTTCGAGCGGAGAACAATTTTTAGGGACGTTAGTTTTTGGGGTAAGTAAATTCGGTGGCGCTATAGTTGACTGCAGAAAGGTCACGTTCTTCCTTTTTATTTTCGAAATTAGGTCATCAAACAGCTTGATGACCTAATTCTTGTGCGATCGCAAAATGTTGGGTTTGTTTGTAAAGTTTATTGGAAGATAAGAGCGTGTCTTCGAAATAAGTGAATAAATTATGAATTATTTAATTAAACAAGTGACAAATTATTATGATTAACTTTATATTATTTATATATTACTTATATTATTTATGTATATTTATATGATAATTAATTCGATTAACTTTATTTTATGAAGAATTACGTATTATAATATTGGTTCGATATTAAAATTGAGTAACTTTTAAATAAATTAAATCAAGTTTTCGTAAGTAACGTTAGAACGTGTTTTCCTTCGGTAGAAAATCTTTATTATAAAAATTAATTATTTTTTACTCTACAGAGGAAATTGAATTTTACTGGGTAACAAAAGCAGTTCTTGAGAAAATTTCTAATCCACGTAAGTTATTTACACAAGTAAATTATTTGCAGAGCAATTTCTCAGTTGTTTGTAGTACTTGTCTACTTAAGTGCGCTTAACATTCAAATATTCTGGGAAATAATTCCAGGAGGTGGACACAGTAAAGTTCAAGGCTATTTGACCACGAAATGTATTTGTCAAAGCATCAATCGTTAAACGGAGGAGACACAGAATTCTTAAAACGTTTTTTATAGTAAGTATAATTCTTTCCCTTTAAGCACGTTTGTTTTAAATAAAAAATTAATAACTAATTTTATGATACTATTAGTATTATAATATTAGTCCTACATTAGTATTATAATATATATAATAGTACTATATATATTATAGTATAATATATAATAAATATATAATAATATAATAATAAATATATAACAGTACTATATAATTATAAACTAATAACTAATTTTATGATTTAGGACTTTTAATTTCTAATTTACATTGCTATATGTACATATATAAGTGATCATTTTTTATTATTAGTGTCATCACTTTCTCAACAAATATAATTATAATAATGATTTACATTGACTAATTTCAAAAGACTTCTTTAGGAATTTTCTAGAAAATAACATCTCAATACATCTCAATATCATAAATCTTATTTGCTCTAAAATTGAACATTGTAACAGAATTATGTGAAATATTGTGCTGAAATATTTTGACGAATTTTTCATACAGATTTCCTCCAAAATTTTCGTAAATGTCTTATTTTGATTTCAAAATTATCATCACTTTCTTTCATTTCAACGATTTATTTTCTTTTCCTCTTTTCTTTTTCTTTTTTTTTTTTTAAATCTGAAATTGACGTGCGTACGCAATACGGCAATTGTTTCGATAAAATGATAACGATTCCCATTTCGGTCGAAGCATTTCGCGGGAAAACATGCTCGAGTGCGCCAGAAATTCAAGGGAGCTCGCGTGTTCCCTCGCTTGTTTAGCCGGATTATTTAGAATTTCAGTTTCAGCTACATTGAAATTCAAAGTTCAAGGTTCCCGGTGCATAGGTTTACACGATCCTCCTCACCGCAGATAACACGCGCCTGGTGAAAATCCTTCGAGTCTCTAAACTTTCTAAATTTCATCTTTAAAACGAGAGGACGTTTCATTTCGACTAAAAAATTTCTCACTAGATTCCATCTGGCTTGCGGAGGTACTTTATATAAATACGAGACAAGAGATTCTCGTGAAATTGAAAGTGTTAAAGAGTACTTATAGTTACTGAGTGATATATATCGTTGCAAATAATTTTACCGAGTCGAGGATTAAAAGAGGAAAGGAAAGTCTCGCGTTTTTTATAAAAGACTCTCGAGATTTATTCCCCTGTTTTAAAACTTTTCAGTTTTACCTCGAACCTTCACTTTTATCGCTTTCGTATTTTTACGGTTCTTCAAGAGTACTTCTGTTGATTGGAAATAAATTTAGTAGAATTTGACAGATTATTTTCATCAAATTATTATCTTCTCGAGCTACACAAATAATTCATTCACTAGCCTGATAATTTGAGATCAATAATAATATTATAATATATAATATTATATATTATATAATATATAATATTGTATATTATATAATATATAATGATAATATTATAATATTATAATATATAATATTATATATAATATAATATATAATAATAATATTATAATATAATATATAATATATATAATTAATAATAATATATATTATATAATTTATAATTATATTATAAATAAATATATTATATATATTATATAATTTATATTATATTATATAATTAATATATAATTAATATATATATAATATTATATATATATATATATATAAAATTGTTAATAATTCTCAAAATTCGTCATCGTTATACGTACTCATGTAGGTGTAATCGTGCACAAGTGCAAATAAACAGAATATGAAAGAACATGCACAAACACCACGAGACTGTGCAAACGCGCAGCAATGAAATTTACAAAATCTGCCGAGCATCAAGACCGAGTTTACGGCTTCTCTAAAAAAAAAAAAAAAAAAAAAAAAAAAAAAAACAGACAAAATCGTTTCGGCAAACGTTTCGAAATTTTCGAACGTCGTTTCGCCGCAGCTGCGACGGTTCCCGCGAGTAATTCAGCTGGCCGCAATTCGTATCGA